TATATATACTTTTATATATATATATAGAGGGTTTGACAGTGCACGGAGCACAAAATTGCATGCACTCGACAGCCACTCCAGGACCTACTGCAGTGTGAGTTTTCAGCGAATGGTCGAGTCGTCTCTATGCTGATTCGTAATCCAGGAGCCGCAATCTTGGCTGAGCAAGAAGCACATCCTAACGAGTCAGCTCAACGTTACCTTCCGCGTTTACACTACAGGTTGGGGTTTGCGTGGCGTGTGCGTGGCAAAAAAGACTCATGAATCTGCTTTGGGCAATCTGAGCTTGCCGACCTCCAAGCCGAAGAAGAGCTCGAAAACCCGTCACTCCTGCAAGGAGACAGTCACGACTGCCTGTTGTAGATGTATGGCTCGGAGCAATTGAAACTCCAAAGCGGGCTGGTATCGAGGATTGGGGACGGCATTAACCAGGCAGTCCTGTCCATTTGAGGCGCATCTTCCGAATGCCTTGCCGGCATCTGTGCGTCGCAAGCGAAACTTGACAATGCTGGCACTCCCACACAACAGGAACACCCAGGTTCAACAAAAACTTGAAACCCCGAACCAGCTGCGCGGAAAATATGAGGCAAGAGCCTTGGGTGGCAGCGGAGTCCGTGGTGCTGATTTCCTGTGGCAAAGAGCGCTGACGGCAAGACCCGTAACAACCGTCCATGGCAGAAAAGATTCCGAGATCCAAATTGAAGCCACTTCCACCGGAACCCAAACAATCATCCAGGACCCGTTGAAAGCCCAACGCATCCCTACGCTACAGCACCAGGGTTTTTGATCCTGCAGCCCTCACGCCTTTCGAACTCACCCGAACCCCCATCCAGCCCCAGTACCGACCTTTGGGAGGAGAGTCACGAGGCAGTGAGGTCACCTCAGGGACGGGTGTAGGTTTGCACTGTGCCAATTCTGTACAAAGAGAGAGAGAGAGAGACAGAGAGAGAGAGAGAGACAGATAGAGAGAGAGAGAGAAGAGAGAGAGAGAGAGAGAGAAAGAGAGAGAGAGATGCAATCGGGGCTGTACCAGCACGATTACGCTTGCATCAGCCACTTTCTGTCCAGATCCGACCACACGGGACCCGGCCGGGCAAACAAAGTCTGAGTCCTGAGAGATGTCCTGCGCAGGGGAAGTTGAAGTGTACTTGGAACCTAGAGCTCCTCGATCGCGCAACTTTAGAAACTTACGTGCCTTAACCTACCAGTACCTACTTTTTTGTAGGGTCCCTATAAATCCCATATTAGGGTTTATATTAAGAACCGACAAAAAAGTGGGTTCTGGTAGGCTAAGGTAGTCACTGACAACCGGGCAACCGCAGCAGAATCTTGGTCGAAAAGCCAGGCCTACACCTAACCAGAGCAAAGCACGGCAGCGTCAGAGCGAACTTGGACACGACCACGCTTAGAAGCCGCAGCCGATCATCATTCCCGTCACTTCTCCCGACCTCTGCCGTAGGCCCAGAGCCCTGAACAACCCAAACGAAGGGTTTGGGGATCTGCAGACCTCGAAGCTCTCCCCTTCGCTCGCCTCAGCCGAGTTGGACACTCTGCTCATGCTCCAAGCGAGGGAGAAAAGAGCTACAGCAACCCTTAAAGGAAACCCCTTCGGACTTGCCTAAACTCTAGCCCAAGGCCTTGAAGTTTCTCTCGGGACGCCACGAACTTCGACATTCGGATCTGTGTGCGTGTTCACTGATGCAAACAAACATTGCAGGCATCTTCATGCATGCACGGCTGTATGCATGGACCCCGAAGTATGTATGCGTACCTGTACTATTTGTGCAAACTATCGAGGCCCGCGCTGTTTCCCAAGAAGAGGAGTCCTGCAGCTTGTGCTACGGAGCTCTGAAAGCTTTCAGAGGCTTGAGCGCCGAAATGACTTCACAAGATCCCCCCCTCACAGCATCCAGCCTCGGAGAAGTCATCCGAATAAAGCGCACCTGCTCGCAACCAGGATACCAGAAGCTTCCACTGTGAACCACTACCCAAGGCAGCTTGGCGCTTCAGGATGCGAACTCAGCTGTCACTTTGGAACCCCATCCCCAGTGAGTCCCAGGCCGTCTTCTGTCGAGGATTGACGCTTCTCGTCGTCACTCTCGAACTGGCAAACAGGAAAAACCTTAGGTCACTTGTTACTTTCTGCTGCGTGGCGCCTGCACACTAGCATCTGTAAAGTCAAGGCATCGCCGCGGTTTCGAACGATCTTCTGTGAACCAGGAACCCCCAAACCAGGACCCTTCTCAACGTCTCAAATCCTCGATTTTGGCCCGTCGCCTTATTGAGATCATCGCTGCTGTTGCTGCCACTGCTTCGGGTGGACACCTTTGAGCTCTGCATAAACTTGGTATGATGGTGATCTTTGGGTCAAGGAAGCTGACTTTGACGGATACGGGCCAGATTCAGGACGCACAGAGAGAAAGTGGCAAGTGCTCCTTTCTGGCGGACAGCAGACAAACCAAGCTCTGGACGCTCCACACCGACAGATGCCGCTGGAGCTCATCGGCCCGGAGCCCCTGCAGAGGCTTCGAAGGTTTCAGGGAGTCTGGTGGCTGTGTAGACTTGCTACTGTTAATGGCTTTAGGGCTTTAGGGGTAGCCGGCTTCCAAAGCCGAGCTTTATGTGCCTTTGGGTCTGAGGATTCTAAGCTTGAGAACGTTGCCCCTTTGGCGTGCATTCTTGTTCGCTTGGCGCTTTGATGAGTTCACTGGGACATCTGCCAATCCTGCAGTTGCGGTGTCATCAAGTAAGATGGACAAAGCTACTGGCTGCAACCAGCAATTGTTTCCCCCTATTGTTCTTACATAGCTCTAGCATCAGATACCCCAAACACCCCTTCTAATTGTTAAGGCCTCTCCAGTTCTGTAGCTTCGTGAGCTGCCCTCGCGGCCTTGTCCAAGCCCGTCTCGCACAACTGGCCATTCGGCTGCAGTTTGCCTCGGAAGCCAGACACGGAACGATCTAATGTAGGGGCCTTGACACATCGAATGGCGCTTTGGGGTATATCATACTACAACTACAGAGCCACACAGGGACTCATACCCCTATGATACACCTCAAAAGTTCCGGCCAACACAACCAGAACCACTCAGACTTGATGTCGCGGGCCCATTCCGGCCCGCAATGACTGCATCAAGGCTCTCGGAATCCGCTACACAGGGCGTTCTTTAAACTCGAGGTCTCGTACTTCATGAGGTCCTAAGACTAAGGGTCCCGTAGACTACATACTGTTGAGGTCTCTACATCGGGGCCCGTATGCCCAGCATCCTACAGTCTGTGCTGCTTATGGGACGGATTCTAGCGGGGCCAAACTCCTAAATCTCAGCCCTAAAAGCACGAACAGCGGTTGCAAAAGCCCTTGCAAAACCCTGAACCCCCAGGCAGGCCCGAAACCCCAAGACCCTTAGAGGCGCTTAACGCTACTTCACACAAACTCCCAACAAGTGCGCACCCTTGGATGCCGGCTGGACGGGCCCATGACTGGCCTGATGGGAAGCTTCGTCGGGAAGTATTACTACTATTGCTAGCACTATTGCTATACTACTGTGAGTGTAACTGTAGCTGTTATTTTTTACTGCTACTTTACTATTGTAACAGCTGAAATACTAGTTAGTAGAAATTATTGCTAGCACCAATAGTATAAGGAGTTTGGATCCTCATCTTACTCGTGGCAGTATTATTTGTATTGGTACATGCTTTGTCACCAGTGTTGCGAGAATTATGATTACCGTGGCTGTGTTTAGTTATTCTTTGCTGTCACTGTTCGTATCATCACCAGTATTGACGGTATTCCTGTTTCTCATTTACGAGTACTGTCACTATTACAACTTTAACTTTAACGTTTTCTACGACTAGTACCATAACTAGTAGTGCAATAACTAGTAGAGAAACTGTTACAGGTATCGGTATGAGTGTTGTTGTTACGGTTCCTCTTGCAGCAACATGATAATAATACGAATATGTAGTAATGTATTTTCGCAACTAATACTATGTTATTGCTACTACTGCTGCAATTTTGTCATTCATGCCTTTCGACGGCCTCTCCTGGCAAATACCATGCGGATCTTTCAGCAAGACAATCGGCTCTCAAGAGATTCCCCGCCTCTCTCGATCTAACCACGCTGTGAGGATACGACGGGTAGAACGCTTGGAAGAGTGAAAAGCACGAACAACAAAGGACCACTCATGCATGGAAGCCTCACCTGTTGATGCAATTATCATGTTGTCTGCCGCCGGATTTTTTCAGGTTCCCCCCCCAAGTACACAGGCCGCCACGACGACAAGTTGCTCGCAGTCGCCATTGAAAATCCTGACATCTGCATGCTTGGGCAGAATATGCAAGGTGCAATGCAAGGGTTCTGATACGAATCATGAAATCTGAAAACAAGAAGCAACAACTCCTGCAATCGCGAGGGCTTCATCAAACCATGCTTGGACCCGGCTGCTGCTGCCTCTGCCTGTCGGTGCCTATACCTCAAATTGGCA